TTGTGGCATTCTTTTAAAAAAGGTGGCTTCCTACCCTCATCCTCTTAATTTCTAATCAATCATCAACTTGATAAAGTAGTTTAAACTGAAACGGGCTGAACATTGGAATGAATAGTTGCATGGATTAGATCCACACAATACTGCAGTTTCATCTGTCATATTGAAATAACTATTGTGATCAGATTAAATTAAAAATACCATGATATTCTGCATTAGAGTATTATGGAGATGGTAGTTTTACCTCAACATCATTGTTAGACCACCATTACTAGCGTGGGAGTACTGAAAGACAACTGTTTCGTCCTTGTATGTGACTCATAAGTGATAGTGTGCATCGATGACTCCTGCTACTCGCAAGATTCGAACCCAGGAGATTCACTTGTGAATGCGAACATCTAACATCTGCACCACTGAGCCGGTTGGTATCTAACGGTGTCAATGTTTGCTAACTCCGATCAATCTAAGGATTTTTTTGCTAAACCACACTCATTATCTTCGGTAGGTAACTAACTGCCTATACCCTATAGGGTTGAACTCCACTGGTCCTTTAGCTTCTTATTAAAACTCACGAAGTTAGTCACTAGTGAGCAATTTTTTTAAATTTTAGATTAGCGTACTACTTTATTCTCTGATTAAAAATATGAATTTCTTATTATATCACTATTATTTTTATCTCATTAACAAGTAAATTTTTATCACCTAACCAATAAAAAAGTAATCTAGAATGTTCTATTTACCGGAAATACCGTTGATCATCAAAATTACCCAATCAAATGAAAGCAATTAATTGTTTGTTTTTAGGAATATTCACAGAACAACAACTATCACAACAAAAATACGTAAAAATTGAATCGGTGAAGTAAATAAGTTTCATGTATCTACATTTTCATAATGCTGAACTGATTTTCGGCACCTAATTAAAATTAATATTCTACTACATAATGACTAGTAGTAAGTAGAATAATAATCATGATAATTATTCACTAAAATTTTCTCATGTTTATCATTTTTATTGTTTTGTTTAATGATAATTCGAGTTATTAGTCGGTAAATAAATAAATTGGTCAGTATAGAGGATTGTTTGAGATGGTTAAGTTGCATTGAAATCATTGGTAGACAACTATTGGTAATCTGAAAGTATTGCATGACCGTGTCGTCTTAGTTCTGAACGAACTCATTAGCAGTGGGCATTCACTACCTTCTCGCTGCTCACGGTAATCAGATCCATGACCTTCAGTCTCGCATATAAACAAAAAATTGATCAATATTATTGAGATGGTTGAGAAAATTTGTTGTTCAGGTGGATGAGTGTGTTGGTGTTTCGTTCTCTGTAAGTTGTTGTGAAGCATTCATTGTGTACTTCTGAACAACATCATCATCAGCAAAAAACTTCAAATAGAAGAAGTGAAGTATTCGAATTTCTCCACGTTTGACCTGTAGCTGCATACAAACTTTGTTCAAGAGATCGAAGACACACTGTAGCACCTATGAAGCACTTAGAAAAACGAGGAAAAACACCTGGTGACTATCTTCCAAAAGAATGGCTATCCACGCAACTTCATCAAAAAAAATCAACCGAAACCGTCAACAGAAGCGAAATCAAGTACATGAATCAATAAACGGATCATCCTACCATACTTAAAAAACATATCGGAGCACACAGCACGACTACTGAAACCAGTTGGAATAGTTGTGGTACACAAACCAACAGAATCACTTCAATCAATCCTATGTGGATCAAAGGACAAAATGACAAAAGAAGAAAAACCAAATATCATCTGCAAATTAAATTGCTCAGACTGTGAAAAACACTACATTGGACAAAGTGGACGGCCTTTTCAGCTTCGTTTACGTGAACATCAATTAGCAGTCAAACGCCACGACACTTATTCACTTATATCAACACATACGGACAATTATGTATATACGTTCTATTTGAACAATGTGGAAATACTGGATAGGAGGAGGACAAAGAACACAAGAGAAGTTTTAGAAGCTTGGCACTCAGGTCAATCAGCAATCAAGAAACACATTGACATTAACTCAGTTTATCAACCAGTCAGAAAAGTCATAGGCGACATAGGATCAAGAAACAGGTCAAAATGGGGATACAATCAAAACAAAGGTACAAACAACGGCAGATTTAAAGTCAACAGCAACCAATCAAGACTGAGGTTAACAGAACAAGCTACAGGTCAAACGTGGAGAAATTCGAATACTTCACTTCTTCTATCTGAAGTTTGTGCTGATGTTGATGTTGTTCAGAAGAACAATGATGAAAGCTTCACAACCGAAGCATCCCCAACTAGGAGAACGACACTAACATTAGTAACCTGAAAGCACTGCATGGCCGTTTCGTCTTAGTGTTGAACTCATTAGCAGTGGGCATTCACAACCCCCCACTCACGAGAATCAGATCCATGACCTTCATTCTCACATGTGAACATTTGAACTCTTCATCACTCATCTTTCATCCAACAGCGTTAATGTTTAACTTCAATCAATCCACAATATTGTGCAACCATTATCCATTATAACTAGCTGCAAACTAGTGATTAGTTTAATGAAGAGATTCTCGGAATCGCAGTGAGAATACATGATCAATGGAGTTCAGTCGTGTCGAGCATGAGTAGGCAAGACTTGAAGGTCCTCAGTTCGATGTGGATGCGTTATGCCCCTGATAAGTCCCACACTAGGATGAAACAGTCGTTCAGTGCTTCTAGATTTCAAATTATGATCCGTTTATGAATTCAATGAAACTCATCAATGATAATAAATATTTCTAATTTTTAAATATCTGTATATTTGTGTATGAATTGTGAAAATGTGACAGAATTTTTCATTCATTTAAAACAATAATCTTAAATTGAGTTTCCAGTCGACACTTTTTAAATGTATATAACTCTGTACATCATATTTCTTATCAAAATTTCTATTAATTATAATCTTCGTTTACTCCGAAAAAAAAATTCACGCGCGTATGTCGAAAAATGAAAATTAATGAATTCATTGAACAGCTTGATCATATATTGTTTTTTGTTGAAAGGATAGTAGAGAATAGGAATTTTGTTTGATTAGAATGTGTTTCTAATGACAATTTACAATTGGTAATTAGTACATTTGAATTATAAGGTTGTGGAAATTTTTGAGTGACTTTTTTTAAAATCATGAATCGATCAATGTTAGACCACCACTGTTAGAAATCCACAAACACTGAATGATAGCCGTTTCTTCCTGGTATGGGACTTATGATCTATGTGCATCCACAACTCCGAACATATGACCTTGAGTCTTGTCCGCGAACGCCTAACATCTGGACCACTGAGCCGATATCTAACGGTGTTAATGTCTAGCTTCGATCAATTCAGAGTTGTGTGCAACCTCATACACTGATATTTGAAAAATGCGTACCGATCAATGGTGGGTTTGATTACTGAGAGATTCATGAATATTCACTGGTAAATGAGTTCCAGTCAATCAATAGCTACGTAGAACTTCGTACGTACGTACATCAGTTCATGTTGCCATATTAGCACAGCTATGTAATTGTCAATTCGAACCCCATAGTAGTAGAGGTAGTAAAAGTATTAGCAGTAATCGGAGAGATTAGGGTTCGAGGATATTATTCAAGAATTAGAATCTAGAGAAAAAAGTAGAGGTGATGCCTGATTAAGAATGCTAGAATTTGAGAAAACATAAAGAACGGATACACCTGCGTCATTGCAAACGATTTTGAGCCATGTCATTCAAGGTCTATAGCCATCGATCACTATGACCAAGTAGCCCACATCTACCGGCATGACTCATTCCACTTGTCATTGACTTCATAGATTTGTGCCGTGTTTCGGTTTGGCTGATCCTAGCTTTCTTGCAGCCTATACATACATCAAAAAATATCGGCACCCATAACACATGTCCCAATCATCTCAACTGATCAAGATTCACTACTTCATCAATCAACTTACCATCCTTACCTAGTACCTTTTCCCTAACCATGGAATCGCTTACTCAGTGATCCCACGATACATGAGCAATGCTTCGCAGAGACTGATGATCGAATACTAGTGACCAACTAGTATCTTCTACTCTGACTGGACATGATTCACAGCCATATAGAGTTGGACGGAGCGAACTACTGCGCAGTAGACTCGTCCTTTAATCAGAAAACGGATATCTCACCTGCGTTTTACTGAGTTTCACCATTCCTTGGTTTTGTATCCTCTAATAATAAATTTTTATTACTGAATTATTAATCAGTCTACATTGGAATACAAAACTTCTACTATGCTGTGATTGGTGGTTGTTCACATTGAAACACATCAGATAAATTCTAAAACATCCTCGATAAGTCTAACATGAATTCCATAGTCGTTACTTGTTTTTGAATGCATTCATATTTCTTTAATCGTTGAAGTTTAACGAAGATACAGAATAGATGAAGTGAAGCCGGCACTGGAATACATGACACGTGTTTCATTCTGTTTATGACTCGTCAGTTGAATGTACTTGCATTTTACCAAATGCATAACGTGATGACAAATAAAGCAGAAAGTATTGGATTCGAATCCACCATAGATTAAAAATTCACTCTGTGATGTAGGTACATCCAGCTAAAGATGAATTCCTTATCAGACACAACACGCATCCTGTGTATCATCACTGTTAGCTAAATTCCATCTATCCCACATATTAATTTGTGTCATGATAGTTTATATTAGAGGCAATCCTCTAAGGATACGAACAAAGATTAATTAAACACTAGTCAAACATTATCGAAAAACAATTTTAAATTAACTTAGCAAAGATATGTTTTGTGTGTGAATAGTTCATCTGAAATAGACAATCATTTTTGTTTGTAAACCTAATTCAGTAGTATACTGAGAGCACATATTAAAAACTGTACCATATTTATCATTATTGATTTGTTAATTATCAATAATTATCACCTTGTAATTATCTTTGTATAATTTATTTATTTATTTTTCTAAATTTATTTTCAGCTGCTTTAACACGTGAAATATTAATTATTGGTGCCATTATAGTAGTATTTATTTCAGTAGTATTGAATGTGTTCTGTTGTATACGATGTGCTTTGATACGTCAATATTCCAGTAAGTCAATGTTTCTTGATATAATTACTCCAGTAAAAAATATTGTATACTTATAAACAATATGTACATATATATATATATATATATATATATATATATATATATATATATATATCCTTAACAGTTAACATTATCATCGTCTGACTCTTCAGGAGTGGACTTTTTTACCAGGAGACACGCTTGTTGACTTAGAGTGTGCTGACAAAATGCAGAGTCTTCTGACTACCCTAAGCAACAATGCAAGCATGTTCGCGATGCGATTCTCACCGTCGAAATGCAAAATGTTGCTTCAAGATTGGGTTGCACCAAATGAAAACATGGTGCAAATCCATGAAATCACTGACAAGTGGATTGAGTCATGTTAGTAGGTGTTAGACTACCTGGTTGGGTTCCGTAAGATGATAGTGATCGATGGTTATAGACCTTGAATGACTTAAAATCATTTGCTATGGCGCAAGTGCATCCACTTTTTGTGTTCTCTCAAATTCTAACCTTCTGAATTCCTCATCATCTCTGCATTTTGCTTTCTAACTCTGTCTTACTGAATTATACTTCTCGAATCATATCTCCGAACCTTAATCTTCTCCATTACTGCTAATACTTCTATTATCTCTACTACTATTGGATTTGAACTGACAGTTGCCTCTATGTGCTAATGAGTTGTGGCAACCTGAACTGATGTACTTACGTACGAAATTCTGCGTTGCATCTGTCTCTACATATACTTAACATTCTATATGAAAGCAATGAGTTACATTCCAGTTCATCAATAGAGCAAAAACCATAATAAGAGTTCACAACAGATGAATAGAATAGAAACAGGATTGCTTCTCTGAATATTATTTAGTTGAACACTGTCCTACAGGTCTAATCCATGAGGCCATTGGACAACGTCAGGATATTCTTTCTCATGGTGACCAGTGAACAACACCCTGGAGGAGACAGGGTAGTGTTTAGGACTTCTCTAGAAATGACGATAAACTCTTGTTCATATGAGAGCATTTTGGTATGGACAACGGTCTCTACTCACTTCCAACCGTACCATTATATATAGGGTCTTCTGCCGGTTTTGAAGAACTTTGATATGAACCGATCAAGTTTAGACTACCACTGGAAACGTGGACGTATTGAGGGGTCGTTTCGTCTCAATATAGGACTTTTCATAAGAACGCATTCGCGATCTAGAACATGGAGATCGAACCCGGGACCTTCAGTCTTGCTCGCGAACGCTTAACCGATTGATCAATGACTAGTTGACTATTCACTGGACTGTGGAGAATATTTATCTAACTTTATATTAGAGTATTATGTGGACGGTAATTTCGCCTAAAAATCATGAATGAATCGCTGTTAGACCACCATTAGAAACCTGGAAGCACTGCACGGCCGTTTTGCCCTAGTATGCAACTCATCGACAGTGCGCATCCATGTCTCTGGCTACCCGCAGGATTCGAACCCACGATCTTCGGCCTTGTACACGAGCACCTGACCTAAGGACCACTGAGGCGGCATCCAACGGTGTTATTGTCTAACTCTGAGCAATCTAAAGTTAGGCGCTTATGCGCAAGACCGAAGGTCCTGGTTTCGAATCCTGCGGGTATCAGAAGTCATGAATGCACACTTTTGATGATTTCCATACCAGGACGAAACGGCCGTACAGTTCTTCCAGGTTTCTAATGGTGGTCTAACAGTGATTCACTTATGATTTCAAGGTAACAATTATTTAGCCAATATTTCACTATTTCCATACACTGTTAACCAATCCAAAATTACTATGAGGATAGTGATGAAATGACCAGGTTCTCAATGTAACTTAGCTTTGAGAAAAAAAATTTCAAGGTTAAAGTGAGAATCTGTAACCGGTTTAAGTTCAGTATTGTCTTCAGTAAGGAAAATATTAGATTATATAATAATCTAACCCTTTTTAATGGAAAAGAATCGACGAAGTGCTAAACACTTTATTGTATAAAATCTACAGCCGTCATAAAGCATAAACTGACTTTTTGACATGTTACACATTTGAAATCATGAATCAATCAATATTACATCACCATTAGAAACCTGGAAGCACTAAAAGACGGCCGTTTCATTCAGGTATGGGACTCATCAGTGGCGGTGCGCATCCACGACTCCTGAACCTCGCGGGATTCGAACCTAGGATGGTAATGAAATGGGATTAGAAATGGTGCATAGGTCGCCGAACAGCGAATTGTTTTTCTGGATAGTGCTTCCTTCTTAGCGAGTTGGATTTCTACGCGATGAGGTCGCCAACCGCATCAGTACCAACCCTCCTCTTTTATCCCGTCTTCCGACCAGCAGTAACCTTAGAATGGCTCCAAGCGGAGTTTAAGTAATCATAACTTTGATCAAAAACATTGGTACTGTTTTAAACTATCCGCTTATATTTGTAATTTGCAAACATAGCTGACCAATATACTTTCACATTTTTGAAACCATGAATCGATCAATATTAGACCACCATTAGAAACCTGGAAGCACTGGACGGCCGTTTCGTCCTGGTTAGGCTTTCGCGCACAATACCGAAGGTCCTGGGTTCGAATCCTGTGGGATGCAGGGGTCGTGGATGCGCACTGCTGAGGAGTCCCATACCAGGATGAAACGGCAGTACAGTTCTTCCAGGTTTCTAATGGTGATCTAAGATTGATCGATTCATGGTTTCGAAAATATGTAATTTAACAATCTTCACAACCCTGTAATGCAAATATACTTTTCAACTTTGTTTTTTGGTCTTCTTACATTCAGAATCGAAAGATCGTGCTCATATGCAACATTTATTTTGTATGGCTGAAGAAATACGTAATGCACGTATTGTTAAACAAATCAATGGTAAAAGTCGTAGTTTTCGTGATAAATTAGAACTTGAACAAACTTATCAACAACAACAACAACCACCAAATCATTTAATGAATCTACTTCATGAGAACAACAATAAAGCCGGTATCAATGGAAGTAATAATCTCTTGTTCATGAATAAAATTCAACCACAAACTAATGGTTATGAATCTTATCAACCATCTATCGATTATGGATCAGAATATTTGGCTGGTTTAAATGCTCCTGGACTTGTATTCAATGATAATCAGTCATCATCTACTACTGGTCTACCAGCTGATGTACATTTAAGATATTTACCAGATGGTAAATCAGGCAATAGACAATCGATTTCCGCATTCTCCCTTTTACCCAATCAATGTCCAATGCCATGGACAAATGGTAGTCATGGTAACGGCGCTCATAATAACAATACTGCTGCTGCTGCTGCGGCGGCAGCGGCGGCGGCCAACGCTACCATTGAAGCACATCGTCGATCAATCTCCAGTTTACAACGTCACACAGGTAATTCATTCGCATCGCAACATTCATCACAACAACAAATTACTGCAGCTGTCACTAATTTCTATTTACAACATCAACAACATTTTCGAGAATTACAAAATCATTTAAATAGCACGGCTGATAATGTGACAGTCAATCAACTTGGTTCTGATGGTATGGCGTCCTGTTTCGGGAGTATTGGTCAACCGGATTCAAGTATTTTATCCGAAGTTGTAAATAATAATCAAATCACATCAAATTCAATGCATTGTGAATCAATGTTAACTGGAAATCTAATCAATCATTCACCAGTGATTAGTATACGTAATGGTAATAATAATATTCTATTGAAAAATACACTGACTTCATCCAATTCTCCATTGGTTCATGCAAATAATGCTAATCAATCGACGTATATGATACCTATGGATTCGACAACCAATCAAATCACTAATCAAAATTTTCCAACCAATAATAATAATAAATCATCACCAAATATTAATCGTACACAACCAATAGGATCATCTCAATCCCAGTTGGTTGCATTTATGAATAGGCTAAATTATAACAATAATAATGCACAAATTTTAACAAATCTACCTATCAATATGTCAACTCCTCCTGGTGGGACATTAAATTCACAATCCGACAGTGGAGCTGGTTCAGGTGGTAGTGGAAAAGTTTCTATGGATTCGTCGGAGAATAGAATGAATACACCGAAAAATGATTTTGTTATTTATAATTTATCTGAAATGATTGATAAGTCAACAATCAATAAGAAAGATTAATTTTGAAGTGTTCTTTGTTTTACGGCTACTATGACATTGACTCATTCACACACAGTAAGAGAGAGAGAGAGAGAGATAGAACAGAAAGTTCGGTATCATCAATAATTAAACACTAATCGAAACAACCAGTCTGTATAAATGATCTGTTTTTGTTTTTCTTCTTGTCATAACATTTTACTCTTCAAACTCTTTATTCAAGAAAATGAATGAAGGGTGTTCTTCTTCTGCTTCTTCAAAAAAAATCACAAATACTAGTCATAATTTTCTCATTTTGACAATAAAAAATAATATCACATTTTATAGGGAAAAAAATGAAAATGACTTCCATGAATACTTCTACAATCATAGAAGAATTTCTTCCGCAATATAAGTTTTCTTTCATCAAATAATGGTTTTTCTACAAAATTAGTATCTCATTTTTATTTGAAAACCCATTTTGCAATCATGCAAATATTACTTTGAAAATTTTTATATGCAATTAGTTATACTACTAACTAAGAAATAAGTACATTGTTTATTTATATAAAATATTTGCTGGAGCGGTGCATAACCGAGTAATAACAATGCTTGGCTATTATCATTAAAAATTCAAATATTTTATTTCGTACTTTTCGCCAACAGTTTCATTTTTTTCTTTTGTGAAAAGATTCTTAAAAATAGTAAATGTTTTACAAAGTTTTTTTTTGTGCATGGTAGAATCTTTCTTTTTTTAAATTTTCATTTTAATTTGTGATAATTTATGAATAAAATAAAATGAGAATGGATTTTGAGCTATTTCGTTGTGATTTTTTTTCTAGTTCTTTCCAACAATCATGATAGTTTGTGTTGTCTTGTGGTGTGCAAGGTATCACTAGTTTTGTGACGATTGATATTCTACGTGTTCTTAAGCTTTATAATTAGCTCGTCCAGATAATCGTTACTAAATAGCATCTGACGGTTTATGAATGAAGAGGGTGAACTCGAAGTGTTGAATACGTTTGTTTAGGCATACCACAAATTAGATCAGCAGACTACAAGCACTCAAAGATCAAATCGTCATGCGAGCTCCGGAAAGCAAGCAAGTGAGCGAGTGAATTGGCGAATGAATGGATGAAACAAAGTGGAGAAGGCTAGTGAGCCAATTCCCAGAAATAAAGCATGAATAAGAATTTATAGTCAAACAAAAGTAAAACAGACATGTAACAGGTGAGATGAGCATGAATATGCAAGTAGGCGTAAGCAACGTTCAGTCGTATCAACTCATACAAACCAGACAATAATAAAAGCTAATAGTACATATAAGTTATTGCTATACAAATGGCTTGGTTAAATAAATTAATCGAAAGGCTTAACCAAATTTAATGTAAGCGAACTCAAATATATGTGGAGTCACTAATGTCTGATGTGCTCTGTGTCTTCCCTATTAAACAGCAAATTTGATGACAGTTATTTACATAGAAATATATGCGGACAATTAAGTAGATTTTTGTGTGCTCAGTCAATCAGTCAGCTACAACGTAAATCTTCATACCTATGTACATCAGTTCAAGTTGCCATACCATATTAGCAGAAAGAGAACGATTCGTCAATTTTAATTTCATTTTACTAGAGGTAGCAGTAGTACTGGCAGTAATGCAGAAGATTAGGGTTCAAAAATATAGTAAGAGAAGTACATTAACTACTGAAATGGTGGAGATGAATGTTTTGGTTGTGAAGCTTTCATGATTGTTCTTCTGAACAACATCAACATCAGCACAAACTTCAGGTAGAAGAAGTGAAGTATTTGAATTTCTCCACGTTTGACCTGTAACTTGTTCTGCTAACCTTGATCTTGATTGGTTGCTGTTGACCTTAAACTTTTCGTTGTTTGCACCTTTGTTTTGATTGTATCCCGCTTTGATGTGTTTCTTGATCCTATGTTAACTTATGTTTTTTTTTGATTAGTTGATAAATTGGGTCAATGTCGATGTGTTTGTTGATTGCTGATTGACCTGAGTGTCCTCCCCCTTGATGATGTTGTTCAGAAGAACAATGTAAGCTTCACAACCAAAACATCCAGCTCACAGAACAAACCACCACTACACTACTGAAATCAATTTAAAGAGAGTGAATAGGTCATGAGGAATTCAGACGATTAGGATTTGATAGAAGACAAAGAATGGATGCACCTGTGCCATTTGTGCAGTTTCATTTATGAAGCGAATAGATGTTCTCATTTCAGATGTGAAACAATTTTAATACAGATAAATTGTCATGACGAGTATACAAGTTACAGTATATCTGGATAACATACTGACAATACCAAAACTCAGAGTAAGGATTCAGTGATATATTCACAAGACAGAATTTATCGTTTTACGAATAATCATATAATAAGGATAAATACTATTATTTTATTAGTGCTCGCATGATAATAATAATAATAGCACATTCTTCATTTTGCATTAGGGTATTATGAAGATAATAGTTTTACCTTGAAATTATGAATGAATCATTGTTAGACCGTCATTTGGAAACCTACAACTACTGGACAGCAGTTTCATCCTAGTATGGGAATACTCATCACTAGTGATTAGCTTCGTAAAGAAATTCTCGGAGTGCTAGGGAGAAGCTATGTGACCAGTGGAGTTCAACCCCATCAGATGTAGGGTGAGGTTGCACAAAATCCTTAAATTGATCAGAGTTAGACATTAGCACCGTTGGATGCTGGTCCAGTAGTCTAGATATTAGACTTTTGTGCTCAAGACAGAAGCTCCTTTGTTCGAATCCTGTAAGTGGCAGGGTTAGTGGATACGCATTGTTGAGGAGTTCCGTATCAAGGCAAAACGGCAGTCCAGTTTTATTTTTGGTTTCTAATGATAGTCTAACAATGACTGATTTCATAATTTCAAGATAAATACCGGGAAGAATGTGAATAAAACTAATTAATCTTTGCAGTTAGTTACACAATCATGTAGAAAATTTTTCAATAAATCTACTAACAAGAACAACTTTCACATCGCTTCATTTCGGATAAATTTTATCTGATTCTGACATTTTGTTCACGTCTTCCAACTATACATAAAACATGTTTCTCTGTGAAAAAAAAGAAGAAAAAATTGACAATTAGTTAAATGGAAATCATTTTCAAAGTTCTAAAATGTCGAATTTTTCCGGTAACAAGAATACAATAAAATTTGCAGAACAAAGTAAATCTATCTTAGTTGAATATCATTTCTTGTGTGCATATTAATATTTTCTGTGAAATTTGTTTGTAAAACCATAGAATGTTTGGAGAAAACATGAATCAAACAACTGTACTCTTTGATCAAAATAATATTAAATACTCTTTTATATTAGTGGAAAGTGTTAGAAATTACAGTGAATACGAGTTTGCACAATGTAAATGAATGTAAGAATCGTGCGTAGATTGCAACAAATTCCTTAGACAGTGGTATTGGTGTATTTTCTCATAAATGCCTGTAGACCTTGAATAGCTGCAGACATGGATGAAGACTTCTCACAATCTTTGCCATAAAATTATTATTATGTTCATCGTGGTGACATACTTTGTGATGAATTTCCATAATCCCATTGGTGAGTTGCGGCCGGAAGTATGTATATGGTTCATTACAAGTGACGTCACTCACATTGTGAATCAGTTGAAGTTGTCAGTCGGTACAATAGAATCCCAAACCAGTAAATTAGAAATAAGGAAAGCATAACGTGACCTAAGATCCTAGTTTCATGTTGAGGATGTTAGATCCTCAAAACTCGCTTGATAAATGCCTTATTTTGGTTTTCACGTTTGCCAGCATGGGCTGATCAGCTGACCTTGAGATTTCAATTCCCACCTGGAAAATCCATGGCTGTGTATTTTAGTGTGCTATTTTTGTGACTCTACCAAGGACGTTTCTATGATGTATAAATAAACGAGTGTTGTATGCTTGATTGTATTGTGATTGATGAGTGTTTGTAGAATATACTTTCTACGCTTACCAAGACTTCTGTTTTACCGTTTGGATTCAAGGTAGACTACTTGGACGCTGGTAATTGTCTCTTTCGCGTTTATCGACTAAGGTGAACTCTTAATAGCTTCAAGCGTACCTAGTGACGAACCTAACATTTCCATCCCTACATGTTTATAAGCACGCACTCCTCAAAAGTGACAAACTAGGATGAAATGGTTATCTTATGTTTTCTGGTTTCGACTGGTCTCCAAAAACAAATCAGTCAAACCTAGATGTAATATCAAGTAGTTTACACTTCTTAAAATGACAGCATAACGATATTTAACTCCGCCAGTAGAACCTTAGGGGCTACTGCCGGTATAACGGTATAACGATATTTACAACTGCGTTCAAAATAACGTTTAACTAATACTTGAACCGCCTAGCTGAGTAAATTTATGGCGTAATATTTTCACAGAGACAATATATAAACGAGCAATTTATAAATGGCTAAATCTTCCTTAAAACAGAACAGTAAATAGTTCGGTTTTCAAACCAATATGAATGTTGATTTCGAGGTTCTAGGACAGCTGAATGAAAGTCATAATAATTATATCAGTTGTTACAGTTTATTTTAAGTCAGTGGAGTTGTCACTAGTTCTGACTGGTTAATTTTGACTTACTTCTGTCGATAATGATAATTTCAGCCCAATGAGCTTATTTTAATAGTTGATAAAGATTGTGTCTTATATACATACAATTTGCTTACAACTAATGTGGGTGATATTTTTTCTGCTACTATGAAAGTGATACAACTTAATAATAAGTATCATGATATTAATAATTTTGAAATCATGAATTGATCAATGTTAGATCATCATTAGAAACCTGGAAGTACTGGACGGCCGTTTCGTCCTGTGATAGGATTCACATCATCAGTAGTGCGCATGCACGACTCCTGAACCTTGCGGGATTCAAACCCAGGAGCTTCGATCTTGCGCGCCAACGCTTGACCTCTGGACCACAGAACCGGAATCCAGCGATGTTTATGTGTAACTTCGACCAATACACACTCTTGCACAACCACATCCACTGTCTTCGGTCACAACTTCTCACCAGAATTCAGAGAAACTTACTCATGAGGCTAGCCACCAGTGAGCACATGATTATTTGCATCATGGTGTTGTGATTGACTTCTTTGGATAAACGTCAGCTCACCAATTTTAGCTGTGACGGAGTCGAGACTGACGATGATCATCACTAAATACTCATTACGAACCGGTCACTGAGAAGATAAATAACTCCAGGGTAAAGAATGTATTTGCTGGTGATTTTTTGGTGTCGAAAGAACACCGAAAATAAACTAGGAAAGTGAGCGAATGTACAGAGCAGCTAGAGCAAAGAATGGCAGGAACACAAACAGAAAGTGTGCGCGTAAATAGCGTTATAAACAAAAAGTACAGTTAAACGATTATCGGTAGAATTTGTTATAATGATGAACCAATCGCGTGCTCTTCATAAAAGTGGATCCACTACATATGATTGATCCTCTTATCACAAAATAAACAAATATGATTTTATTACAAATAAAAATAATTTTCATCGGATTTCTTTTGTTAATTGTCATGATTGATGAAACATTGAATTACAAAATGTAACTTTTTATCAATCTTTTGGAGCGAAATTCAAATGAGGTCTTTTATTGGGGCTACAACAAGTCAATGTCTGAGCCATTTTATACAGTTAACAATACATATGGAAATGCTCTGAAGATGAAAGCAATTACGTAACAATAGTTTAAATACAATCATACCTACCATTAAGATAAATTTTCCGGGTGAAATCTGAAGCATCAAGTAAGATCGT